AACATGATTTTCAAGGCAAAGACTTCATATACAAAAATAATCAGTATATTTTATTGTCAACAAAATAGAATTAGTCTATTCTGTTATCTTTTATTTATCTTATACTAAACTAATAGATAGTAATTAGTAAGAATACACTTTGTTCTTTAATCTAGATAATGAGATTTTAAGTTCAGTTTATAAATTCAATTTTTAATTAAATAAAAGCAAATGCTAATTTCAAAATATTATTGTATATCCAAAATATCATCTATTTTATTTGGTAGATTGAAATGTACTGGTTTTCTATTTGCAATTAAAATTAAAAAATTATAGAAGTCTTCATCAGATAGTAATTGAAAAAAATGTGGTGAAGCACTAGAATTCACAAGCTGTTTTACTGTTGCTAAACTTTCATTCGGAATAAATCTAATAGTAAAGTAATGCCAAGAGAAATTCCAGAATCTTTTTTTTGTTTGATACTCATCTTTTGATTGCTGTCTGGTGGTTCCTTTATGGCCAGTTAGAAAAGAACTGTATATGTATCATAAAGCTTTAAAAAATGGCAAAACCTTTGAAGCTTAACTTTAGCATATATTTTTTCTATATTTTTATCAATACTACTTCACATTTTTAAACCTTCTTTCACGGCTCCTAATTTATTGCCAAAATCAATGTGAACATATTCACTCTGCTTCGTCTGCAACTTAAATTGTAGGCTATCATATTTCAAATCATCACTATGTTCAACATCGGGTTTGGAATGAGAATCAATTTTGCAATAGTTTTCCATCCTCAAGCTAAGTTAAATTATATAAATTAGATCTAATAATAAATTAGAAATGCGAACTGTGAATTACAATATGTATAAATAAACTAGTTTATTTTAAAACTAGTTAAAAACTACTACAATTTATTTATATTAACTACTAGTTTACAGATCGCACCTCTAGTCTGGGCATTATTTTGGGCAAACAAATCTGTTTTTTGTTAAAATTATTAATGAAAGAGCACAAGTTGTTCACATTTCAGCTTTAATTTTTTGATTTATATATCATGGTTTAAAATTTAACCAAAAATTTTGTTCTTTAGACTATTATTATTATTCATCGATTGTCTACAATCCGCAATGCCACAACAATTATAGTAATGAATGAAGGAGTTATAGAATATGGTAATCATTATGAACTAATGACTAAGGGTGGTACTTATTATAATCTTGTTAATACTCAACAACTTCAACAAAATAATGAAGTCAGTGAATTTCAAAGTGAAAATGAAATTATCAAACATAAATATGAATCTATGTCATCATCAATCTCAACTAAACTAAAAATGAGTATACAACATGGGAACTAATCAAAAAGATTTTAAGAATTAGTTATTCAGAACTTTTAGTTATTCTTTTTACTGGCTTCGATTGTGAATATTTGCTATTATCTTTTCAAATATTCTTCAATCATTCACAAAAATTGGCAATGAACTAAAACATGATGCTGAATTTTGGTCACTCATGTTTTTAATCATTGTGGTAGGTACTTTAATTTGCAACCTTATTCAAAATACCACATTTGGATATTCTGGTAAAAAACTTACACTCAGGATTCGCTCAACCACATTTGCTTTAATATTGAGACAAGATATTTCTTTTTTTGATAAGAAAAAACACAATACAGATTAGTAATAACTAAATTTTTAAATACAAGTTCAAAAAAATATTGTAATTTTCTAATTGTAACAGGAGGTATTCTCACACTAACCTCTAAATTTCTCCAGTTACGATTAGAATTTTTATATTGTAGTATTTCACATTAGCCAAGAAATCATACAACATAATTTATTTGAAGATATATTTATAATCTTAATAATTACAGGACTCTCCATTGTTCAATAATTAGATGGGATGCTCACTCAATATCTGAAAGGAACCATCGGTGTTGTGGTGATTCCAGATGAAAGAGGCTTTACTTTTAGATTGAGATGTGATCTGTAAACTATTAGTTAATATTAGAGATGCGAACTGTGAATTACAATACGTATAAATAAACTGTAGTTTATTTTAAAACTACAGTTAACTACAGTTTTACAATAAACTACAGTTTATTTATTTTAACTACTAGTTTACGAATCGCACCTTTAATCTGTCCATCTGAAAATAACAACACAATAGTTAATATAGAATTGTAATGTTAAAGGAATATTGTCATTAAAAGAGCATCCACAATATAAACAGCCTATCCCTTGTGATTTTGATTCTTGTAAATAAATTATTAAATTAAGTTAGCCGATTTACATATACATTAAAACTTTTTTTTGTCGACAATTGCAAGTTTCAGTTGGGATAATATTAACATAATAAAAGAATATATTACTGGTAATAGAGATGCGAACTGTAAATTACAATACGTATAATGCATAGAGAAGATTTAGTGCTTGGACCCAGATATCTGGTTACCATGTTACTATATCTGTTTTATAAAATCTATATCCAGATAACTGTCAGTTTTTTTCTGCAAATATCCGGATAAACCCTCAGATATTCAAATAACCATACAGATCCTACGGATATCCGAATAAACTAGATAACAAGCAATATGATGCATATATTTAAAATCTTGGAGATAACACCCTGGCAAAATATCATGGTAATACGGCATGTTTGCTATATAAGTAGAAGTACCGTATGCTGTATAAATGCTATATACCACATAAATACTGTATGCTGTATAAATACTATATCAAATATTGCTAGTATTGATACACAGACATAGACCAGTTCAATACGTCAGACATTGTCCAAATCTGATATACTAATACGTAAAGGTTAAATCTAATGGAATCGTTTAGACCTCTACATTTTATAATTATCGGTTTAATTTTTATTTAAAATTATATTTTTTTTTAAATTATTTTTTTTTTTTACTTTTTTTTTAATTATTTTTTTTTTGATTTATTTTTTATTTATTCGTTATTTTTTTTATTTATTCGTTATTTTTTATTTATTCGTTATTTGTTTTTTTTAAATTTATTTTTATTTTTTAATTTAATTTTTTTTATTTATCACATTTATTTATTATTTAATCGGTTCACTAACTTAACTTTTTCATCCAGTAATAAAATTAGAAGCATTTGTTAGAGATTTCTCAAGTTTAAGTATTTTTTATTTTTTTTAATACATTTGATCTAGTTTACTAATTTTTACTTTCTTCCAGCTTAATTCATTTGTTCTAAAAGTGGTATTTGTAATACTTCGCGCTTTACAGCTGTTTTCATAAATTCTGGGACACTAACAACTATAGTCACTCTGATAAATGTCTGCATCATTCATTACCCATGACACTATATACCCGCAGATACCCGTGGATAACCGTACAAAATTGATGGATACGGTTACTATCCGTGAAGAATTTTATGATATCCGGATTATGGTTAACTGTACGGATATCTGGATAAGGGGCTCACAGGTCCAAGCGCTAGGAAAATTAAAGAACAAGTACCCAGTGATGATCATCACCCTCAATATTATCACATGTGATTTTGATTGGTCACAAATAAGATGTCATATCACCTGATTTTATGGCCAATCAAATTAATTATGTGATAATATCAAGGGTGATAATTTGTGATTATCACTGGGGTACTTGTTCTTAAAGTGTCCTTAATGCACGTTAAGTCTTTTTTATTGCACAAAAAAGTATTTATTGAATTAGCAGTGTGGTTATTAAAAAAATTCGCTGTGAATTTATTTTTTAACTTTAAGTAAAGGTTCTAACTCTTATTGATATTTACACTATAAACGTTTCAACCTTTGCGAGATCACCAGATCTAGTTGATAATCTTTATTTGTATGTGACGAACTATAAAGTATAAAAGATAGTGAACTAAAGAAGATTGATAGAGTTAGAAAAAGGGTCTATGTGATATACTGGTTAGCAGTGAGAAAATTTAGCATTTATGATATAAGATTTATCTTTATTGATCACAATGTTAAGTGAATCTCGTAGCAAAAAAATGGAAATATGTTTCGAAAGAATCAAGTTGTTGCTAAGAAATATAAATCACAAAATCATCAAAAGCATTAATTTAACCCTCAACTGTTAACTTAAAGAAATTCAAGCCTTATTGCTGTATTGGAATAACTTTACAAAAAAAATGTCTCAAAAGTTAGCATTACACACAATAAAAAATCAAGCTGCTATAAACTTGAAATCATTTAATTCACCTTCGAGGAAATTATCACAAAATTCGTAGTTCTCAGTTAAAGCAATGAAGTGCATGATTCATCAAAGAACTTGCAGATAGTCTCTTCGCATTCAGAAACTACTTCATAGCAAAAAATAATGAAAAG